CGCAAGAACTGGCTCAGAAATTGGAAAGGACAGGGACACTTTTAAGTGAACGTGGTAAAAACCGCCCAGAAATGCCAGAAGAAACGATTGCAATTGTGCGGGACAGATTACTGCAGTCTCCCAAGAAATCATTACGACGTCTAAGCCAGGAAACCGGGTATACTTATTCAACGTGTCAATGGGCTGCAAAGAAAGCGTATCTTCGTCCCTACAAGATCACCAGTGTTCCATAATTGGGTGATGTTGATAAAGATAAACGGGTACGGTACTGTTTATGGTTTCGGAAATTCGTGCACGATAACCCCAGAATTTTGGATTTCACTTTGTTTAGTGATGAAGCATGGTTCCACCTATCAGGATATGTAAACGCACAAAATTCCAGGATCTGGGCGTCTGAAAACCCACATGAGATTGCTGAATCACCACTACACCCACAAAAAGTGTGTGTGTGGTGCGCCATTTCTGGTTTACGAATCATTGGACCGATCTTCTTCGACACGACCGTGGACAGCACCTTACACTGCCGTATTTTTTACGATTTCGTGCAGCAGCTGGATGGTGTGGAACTTACACAGGGTTATTTTCAGCACGATTCAGCGATTCAAGGTAAAGTCCTGTGCTTAATTAATTAAGCATATAAAAATGTATTGGGGGTGTGGAGGTATAGTGTCACCATTCTTGACCTATACACAAAATCTAAAAGGCTTCATCATTCTACTGTGATGTGTTAGAGAATCCAGGGCCACTCTTTAATACTTACGTGAATTTAAGTGTGTTTGTATATAAATTCAGTGCTGCCCTGTTGCTCTTGCGCACATGAAGGGATACATACTTTGCGTTGAAGCATTCTACCATCGATCTAGATGCTTGGTCCATCAATTTTTGAGCTAAACCCAATCTCCTGCAGAAGTGAAATGTATCACCAATGAATAAACCTGTTTCCATGCAGTTCATGTTATAAAAAAGTATTTATTAATTAGGGTGCTGATACTGAGCTTAAATGTGCTGCATCGTTTTGATTTAAAAGTGTTTTATATGCATAACAGTAGTCTATGAAGTGATAATAGTAATGAAATTTTATTTACCCCTCTTTTGTAATTTTATCAGCCTGTACCTCAACATTTTTCATATTTCATTCTACATATAATTTTACAATAATATATAGTTTATTGTGTCTTAAGATATTAAACTACACTGTACAGTGCTATCATATGGAAAAGATGGAGGAACACTGTGACATGCATTTAAAGGGTCAACAAAATTTCATCACACGTTCTCTGCTAAAGGTGGTAACAGCTGCTGAAATGAACATACTCTCCTGGTATTGAAGATAGCTCAAAAGCTCAGTCTTGTTGCTTAACAAACTAATCTCTTTCAAATTTTGTAAATTTCAGATTTCTTTTTGACTTGACTTTTGACAACATGTCTGAGTAGCAAAAAGGATCGTATGAGTCCACAGTCCAAAGCACACATTTTTCTTTATATGAAGCAAAGTACAATTTGCCTAGATACATTTTTACTTACCTATGGGAGCGTTTCACAGCAAGAGATGTGATATGACCATGAGGGTCATCTTCACTGTCTTCTTCCATTTTAGCTAAAACATATCTGAAAAGGTATGAGTCACATCTAAAAGTACTATAATAACAACTGTATCCGGTATCTTACAATTAATATGTGCATCTGTGATACAGAATTCATCATGACCCAGATAAACACATGATAGATAACATATCGTCACATGTTGGGTGTATAACGCGACAAATAACTTCATGCTGTTCTGGATCTAGCGAATTTATTCCACACTCACTCTTACACTTATACAATTCACAGTTTCACAACTACTGTCATCTGCAGTATTACAGTTACTACTCCAGTGAATGCTAGACTGCAACTGACCNTAGTCATATCCTGGCAACGTGTTTTAACAAAGAAATTATGATAGTCTCCCTGTAACTACAGTCTTCTCTTCAAAACCGAACTTTCATCATTCTCCCTCTGTCAACTGACTGCGTTGCCCCTATTGTCTTCCTTACGTTTAACTCTTTGGCGCTGACCAAACAGGCAACATACCATTCCCCCGTTGCATGTGTAACCATTGCCACGGGAACGTGTTTACCGAGCCGTTGCCCAGAACCTGGCCTGGTGTACACAGCCAGCCTCACGATCATTGCATAGCAACGGCTATACACGCAACATTTGTCATGTTGTTTGTTTCGAAGTCTTTGCCCAGCAACGGTTCTATACCCCGCAATATTAAAGAAATAAGATGGTGTGTGCAAAATGGATTCCTCTGTCTCAAGATATAAATCAGTGGCAGGCTGTTGTGAACACGGTAACGAACCTCCGCGTTATTAAAAATTGCAGGATTATCTAGGGTATACGAGGAGCTATTGGTTTCTCAAGAACGACTCGGTACATGTCGTTAGTTATGTACTGTAAACCACTCTTACACGCATTCTAACCCTTTGGTCGTAGTAATTAATTGTAGGCAAGGGAACTGCGTTCCATCTGTGTGATATTGCTGACCCAGCTAATTAAGGCACGTGTCGCTGTGTGCCACACAGCCGCCGCGCACAGACATATTGGCTGCAGACGTGACGGATTGCTAACAGCATAGCAATCATTCGATCAGAAAATTGGTAGCAATTGTATAATTACTATGGGCCACGGAAGGCGCTCTGAAATGGGGCGACGGGGACAGAACATTTGCTTACAGATTTACGTTTCAAACGTGTAAGAATAATTTTACAGCTCGCTCTGCAATTGTGAGTCTGGATACTGTCTCACAGATGGTGCCACTGCGCTCATAAGAGCCCCTTGCTATAAATATAGTGAAAACTCACTAATTTGGACCTCCTTTTTCTTTCGCGCATTACAGTCTTGCTGATCCCATTGCCGCAATCGCCAAGATGATGTAAAGAGCTGTAGAAAAGAGGAACACAAACCAAAATACATTCATTTTTAAACACGGTCTCAATAACACTGAACATGTAAAGGTAAGGCGAAGCTATCCCTGCAACAAGCCGTGGAGGCCCATAGGGTTGTGAGACGTGGAGGCTGCTACATTTTCTAGACAATCGGCTTACAGACAGCGGTGAGGTTGTCAGCCTTACGCGCCGGCCACCCTTTACCCAACAGGAAGATTCTGTTATAAGCTGAGTCGACCCCAAGGCCATAGTGCGGCTGGAAGGAGTACTTCANGTAGGTCAATTAAAAAAAAATACGACCTCATCGGGAATCGAACCCGCGACATTCCGTCTTGTAGCATAGCGCCTCAACCAACTACGCTATCTCAGTTTTAATTTCTACAGTGCCAAACCGCCATTTTTCTTGCCTAAAACGAAACGTGACGTTCATTTTATAGCTTCCCTGGACATATTTTCCGCAGTACTTCTATAATTATGACTAATCTGGACAGGGGTTCACTCCCGTTTATTCACACTTGGTCAGGTCTTACTATACGTGGTATGGAGCGTACGATTATTTGGGTTGTAAATAAAAAAGCTATCCCTGTAACAGGCCGTGAAGGCCCATAGGGTTGTGAGACGTCGAGGCTCCCACATTTTCTCTAGACAATCGGTTCACAGATGGCGGCAAGTTTGTCAGCCCACAGGAAGATTCCTAGTGCTCATTTCTGTTAGAGGCTGAGTCGACCCCAGGGCCATAATGCGGCTGGAAGGATTAGGTCAATTGAAAAAAATTCACCTCATTGGGACTCGAACCCGCTACCTTCCAGCTTGTAGCATAGTATCTCAACCAACTATGCTACCGCATGCCTCCATTTGGGTTGTAACGTCATGTAATTTACAGACGGAGAGATGTTTCAGAGAAACATATCGTTCCCATCTTAAGGATAGAAGAATAAGTCAAGAGAGAAACCAGAAAGTAGCAGGTAAACACCGCCTGTTTCTTGCTTCTTACATTTGGCCCTGAAGATGGAGTCCGTAAATTCCTCCGAAACGTCGGTGGGCTTACATAGTACTACACAGCGTTATTTCTCACAAGACGGCACTCTTTCATTTATTTTTCATCTATTTCATTAGTTTTACTCTTTGTGTATTGAAGTTTCCTATTTCTGTCTTTCAGCCTTCATTTCATTGTCTGTTTGTCTCTGTGTGTTCCTCATGACCATAATAGCTCTGTCAATACAGTGCTTAAGTTACAGGCTACATAACTTAGCGATCATTGTTCGATTCTAGGCAGAGGTCACTTTTCCAGGCCCAGCCTGGATACTGGGGTCGATTTTCCCCAGGGCAAAATTACCATGGCGTGAAACTGACCACTGAGTTAAATCTAATGTCTAGGTTCAAAACGCGTGGAGCTGTACCTCCACTCCCCACACGCCTTCACGGCGTGGTGCTCAATTAGCACAAGGACAATATTACCCTCATCATTTTATTTGTGTTTCGTTAATACCTTGTTTCTTCTATTTCTGTTTGATTTATTTGCTTTTGACTTTATTTGTGTGGGCCGCCTGGATAGCTACTAGCTACTGGCTGGACGTCTGAGGGGTCAGATTTCGAGTTCCGTTAGGGGCAAGATTTTTCACCTCTCCACGTTATCCAGGCCGATTCTGGGGACCACCCATCCTCCTAATCAATGGGTAGCAGAGGCTCATTCCCCGGGGGTAAAGCGGCAGGGGCGTGAAGATGACCACTCGCCTCCAATTAGTGAATCTATATATCCACTCCCCCATACCCCTTCATGGCGTAGTTAAGCACAGGGACAACTTTACCTTTATTTCTGTACATTTCTTTCCCTGCCTTCTTCAGCCAGTGTCCCACGCTGTGTTATAATTCTGCTTATCACATAAATATTCACACACTGATAATTTTGTTGTACTATTTTCAGTGAAATGTCGTTTTAAATTAGTTGTGCCTTCCAGGAAATGCGTCCCCTTTCTTGACAATGATATTACGGCTACGGCGCATAACCAGGACTCTGCGGTCTGACCGCCATCCTGTGCAACATTCTCTCTACTTCCGGTTGCTTCGCACCCCCGCCCAGTCGCCATCACTGCGCAGCCGTCTCCTGACTCCTTGCTTATCAGTGCGGCTCACGAATCCTTCGGAAGTCCTCGACAGTTCTTCTGATACGAGACTCACACGGTCGTGCCTCGACTTACAAATTTCTTGGCTTAGGGTCCCCTGAAGTTAACACCCATTCCGAATTTTCGGACTTACGTAATGTTGTGTTAGCCTCGAGGCTGAATCATAACCGTTAACAGTCCATAGAAAAATATTATTCGGCTTATATACCTTCAATATTTTTAATCTGAATCATTGTTTCTCAAACTGTGGTTCTTGGCTGTCCATGGGATGGTCCGTACTATAGAGACTAATATGAGTATATACTGTCCTCTTCAAGGACTATCGCCTTACTGTGGGGAGGACGTCTGCGTGTCCTAATGACACGGAGAGCTATGCTGGCGGGAGCGTAACCTCATGGTAGAGCCACCCATAGTAGGCAGGTCAAAGGGTAAGGGCCAAACGAAGTGTAGTCGCTGGTCCTTCAGTTGTGGGTTGTGCGCGGGGCTGGCACTCCATCCCCAAAAGTTTACTGTTACGAAACTATGGAGGAGGCCAACAACCACACACGGGGTTGTAGCGCGAATTCTGGGTTCCTTAGCAAGACATCAGCATATGTAGGAACACTGATTACCTGCTTAGAACCCAGAGCAAGAGCGAGAGAGGGGAAAAAGTGAGTGGGGGGGGTTAGTGAGAGGCACAACATTTCCCGGTGGTAAAGGTTCGCAGGCAGTGCCCGCTCGTCTTTCTTGTACGGGCGTGTTTGAGCGAGGGTAAATCTTAAGGAAGTGAAAAAGGATAAAGAATGAGTACGTGGACTTTTGAAAGCAATATGGAGCTCAATTTCGGGTAATTTAAAACGGGAGAACTGTATGGGAAGCAAGCAATAGCGCATCCAAGTCATGGAAACGTATGGGGGAGTGGTGTACAACTCCATGTATTATTATCTTAGCACTACGAGTAGATGGAGATGAGTGGTCAGCTTCACGCTTCGGCCTCTTTACCTCCGAGAAAAGTGTCTCCGGTACCCATTGTATAAGAGGCTGGGTGGGCCCCAGAGTCGGTGTAGACAATATGGAGAATAAAGAAGGTCCTTTGCTTTTGAATGACGAAATATTTATATATGAAGTATGATCGCGTTGTGATTCTTAGAGATCAGATTATTTGGAATTTATTATAAAACGCGGACATAAGTCGCTCTGAAATTGAAGAGAAGGATATTCGCGTGGTATATTAACAGAATGTCACGGACGATATTCCCGCAGTCACAGAGATACGTATCGCTGAACTGCTATTCGCTTACACCTTGCAGCTGGCGCGATCACACGGCCTTTTGATGAAGCATACAACATAAACAGCAGTTGATGAGCAGCTTTGTGATTGTTGCTAATTCGCATGGAAATCAAAGGGGAAATGAGTGTTCTTAACGACTCACTGGTGTAGCTCTGATGTATGCATATGAACACAGGTATCTGTCCCATGTTGAAGTGCATCATTCGGTTTAAACTTTTTTGAAGTGTATATAGGGTGAAATGGGGGGCACGCGGTAGTGTAGTTTGGTT